GACATAGAGGACAGCTAACTCATGGAAGGGGACCACCAGGGAAGGAGATTAGGTTGGAGCTTCTCCAGAAGGGATCGTAAGGGACACTAGACATATGAGCTAAACTTTGGCTGCAGAGAATCACTACTGGACCTAGTGAGAGGCCAGGCACAGCCCTATTAATTATGCCAGAAAGACAGTGTAATCCACCATCACTGTGATAGATGAATTTTGCTTACACTGGTTTGGGGACATCACTGCATATGGTAAAGCTTTCTTAAAGAAGACCTCTACTCCTTTTGGTGTCAGATTCTTTAGGACATTTTGAGCAGATACACTTCCTTTTTGTGGATTATAAATACCTGCTCCGGAAGGTTAAGCAATCTACCATTACAGATAAAGGGCCCCACCACTGGCAGAATTTGTTGCAGAAATACTGGCCAGCAGGGCCGGTGTTAGACTATTTTGCGCCCTGGGCAAGACCAGCTACTGCACCCCCCATCCCTATTGCTCTTGCATCATATCAGAGATATTTGGATGTATTGTATGTTGTTTTGCTTATTTTTTGCAGCATTGTTCCCCACATGCCCAGTGTTTTAGGCAAGGCTTCATTGTCTCATTGAATTATAGCACTGTTATTGCTCTACATTCTGCATTTACTATAGTCAAGCTTGTTTAACGGCCTCTTTTTTTTCCAGAACTTATTGCTAGTCTTAATAAAGCCCATTTATTGGTGTGTCATGTATTGTCGGGTCTGGTTACAGGGCAAGCCATCACTAAAACCAGTTAGGAGAACCCGACATTTCTAGCAGTTTCTGAAATCAAATGTGTAATGTTAATAGTGGTTGTGGTTAATTTAAAATCTGGTTTTGACTTCTAGAAGAGGGAGTAACCATAGTAAACTTGTGGCTAGCACTGTGTCCTTTGGGACACTGAGTTCCTGGGATCAACTGTCCTTCCACCATAAAGGACAGTACAGTTTGTACATATTCCCTTGTTTGTGTAAACCAACCCCCCCATCCCCGAGTGCTCCAGTTATCTTCCAAAACCTTAAAGGATAATTAAAGCCTCCGCTTTTTTTGCATATATCTACTGCTAGCAAGCAGTAGATATATGCAAAAAGTGTAGGAAAGAAAAACGCTTTGAAAAGGGTTAATACTTACCTGTGTATTCCCCAGGCGGGCGCAGATCAAATTTTCGGCCGGGACGCGAGGACAGACACAAGGTAAGTCTATGGACTCGTGCACCCGCATGCAGACACCGTGGGACAGGAAGTGCCAGCAAGCTCAGAGGAGTCAGTGCTGGATCGGAGACCCGCTACAGCGCTGGATGGACAGATGAAAAGGACAAGAAAGAAGATTGGATTAAGAAACATCATTAAAGGTAAGTGCTGACTTTAACTTTAACATTGGGGGGAGGGAAAAACATTTTTGCCTTTTAATGTCGCTTTAAGTAATTTTTGAAGTTTAATTGGGTTTTTGTATGGCTGTTAGGGACATTCGAATGAAACTTTAGTGCAGGCACTGATGTGAAGGGTTCAGTGTTCTCCATGCTGCGTGATATGTCAGTGCTACGTAACTGGAACAAGTCTTCAGGTGTCATACCAGAGCCCTTTTTTCAAAACGTGCTGCATGCCTTTAGAGTGTCATTATGACTGCAGTATTGTTAATTAAAACAAAAATTTCTTTAGAACTTGGAATGTTGACAACCTTGGAGGGCAGGTGTTATGTAGCTCTGGTTGAAAGACACCGTGTAGGTATAAGAGGTTATCACAGTAAAAACTAGGTCGGCTTTATCAGACCCCACAATCACATCTATATTGATTTAGTAAATTGTTAAACATACAGTTTTCAATAACCTAGTAAACGTATGGGGCCACAGCGTTGTGCTTTATAAACATTAATGAGGACCCAGTCATATGACTCCTACCATGGAGTATTCTCTGCTGCATTATGCTGAGAACACAAGAAAGGACACCAGAGGCATCCACTGTACCCTGCATTTTATGAATGACTCTTAAAATATAGATCTAGAAAGGATTGTCACCAGCACACCAAAGGTTTTGAAGCAAAAAGTCCTTTATTGACAAATCGCCATCCAATACAAGCGCTTTTTCGGGGTCTCAGCAGTACCCCTTCATCAGGCTCAGAAATGAGCGATTTGTCAATAAAGGACTTTTTGCTTCAAAACCTTTGGTGTGCTGGTAACAATCCTTTCTAGATCTGCATTGTTCACGGGGCCGTCCGTGGTCACTACAAGCACCCACCTGCTTGGCAGGTTTACTACTATTCCGGTAAGATGTGCAGCTGGTTCTTGACTACATGTACTCTTAAAATATAGACGCACTGTACATTAACCACTTTGGTAATCAGTGGAGAGCAAATAGTCCCCTGTGCTCTAAAAAAAGGTAAGATTGGTGGGGGTAGCTAAATGGAAGCTGCCATTGCTTACTTGTAAAGCTGCAGTTTCAAGAATGCCATCCTGATCCAGTCTTTAAATGTTGCCATGGGTATATGGTCCCCTATGGCAGTGCAGTGCTCACCTTTTTGACAATAGTTTATTAGCCCCACAAAAGGATCAAGTTGAATGTCAAAATTTACTCTCCCCTTCCATAGTGGGGTTCATGGAAAAATGTGGATTTTGAAACATTTCTTGAAAATGGCAGCAGCCCCAGCAGAGCTGCTCATCTCTATTTGCTAGTTAGTGTTAATGGGACCAAAATGACAACTCTGACTAAACCTTTGCTACATGTCAGCAGTGACACCTCTAAGACCTCACACAGATCAACCGTAAAGGAACATTTATATGAATTTAGTACTTTTTTTTTTTTTTTCTTTGTGTATTCCGTTTTTTTGTTTTCAGATTTTGTATTTTCTGTTTTATCAGTTTAATAAGAAATGTTTCATATGAATATTATGTTTTCTTCTATCCAGTAAATTGATTTGAGATCCCAGCTCCATTTCACATTTCTATTACTGTGTAGTAAAAAAAAGATTGATATGCCAAGGTAAAATGGAATTCAATGATTTATCGATGATATCGAGAATTCGATGATTTATTGCAATAACTCATCCCTTATGAAGCTGTTCGATTCTAAATTTCAGTGAGAGACATCTACTTCATAAAGGGAGATGCTATTGCTCTGCTTTTTAGCTAAGCCATATTGCTTTGAAGATTCTTTATCGTGCATGAGATGGTTATTTGTAAAACAATATCTCCTCCCTCCCCTACACATATCTCTGTGGCCATGCCTGGAGTGGGGCAGGGGTGCCTCACCTGCCATGGACCTCTGCGCATGTCCCTGCTCTGGGGTACACTCATGGAAGTGTTGGTTTCCTTGCAGATTTAAGTGTTAGATTTCAATTGAACAGAGCAGTGTTTGACTGTGCGGGCAGCAGAACAGAGTTTTTACTTGCCTATTTTGTATGTGTGTCTCTTTGCAATAATATTAACTAATGACAGGGTCACTTTTGTAGCCAAAAAGTCATATGATGTATTTAGAAATATATCCTTCAGGGTGTGTTTTATTATAACAAATGTTTATTTTTTCCTCTTTTTATTTAATATCAAAGATAAGCTTTCCATAAATAATTATCAATATATGTTAAGTAGTTAAACACTATATTTCTATGTAATAATGTGTAATTTATATATGTATGTGGACTCATTGCAACTATAGCTGATGTCTTATTTCAGCAGTTGTTAATGGACATAATAATTACACTGAACCCTAAGAGCTTCCTATAGCGTATCATTTACAAATCTCTATATTTAAAGTGGAGAGAAATTGAAAAAATATAAATTAGGATCAGGCAGACTGTTTATTGCAGAATAGATGTGCTATTTCTTTTATGCAATGAAACAAACTTACCTGCCTGTTCATGATCTTCTTTAGAATATACATTGAGCTACACACTCGGCATACCTCAGTGTCAGAATGAATGAATATACAACAAAAGCTGTTTGTTTTTTGTTTTTTATAATAATAAAAACAATAAATCTGTTTTATTAAACATCTTAAGCACAGTATGACTTAAACAATAAGTATTGATGCTTTGATTCAAAATTAAATAAACAGTCTTTTTTGAGCACCAACAGATGAATAAAGTAATCACAAAAGTGATCAAAGCTTCATACTTCAGTCATACTGACTGTATAATAAATGTAGCTGATAATACTGTTGTAAATGTTTGCTCCCAATATATTATAAGCTTTTTGTTATTGGAAAGTTTGTTCCACTGGAAGCACACTCATAAAGTAGCTAAAATTGGTTTTTAGAAAATTGATATTGGTCTTGGTGCAACAAGTAGAAGTATAGATCAATTTGGTTAACTCCAGGCCAAGCTTCTTTTAAAATTTAGCAAACATTGCCAAGCCAATTGGGAGATGTGATCCAGCAAACGTATTCTTGAAAAGTGTACTTTAACAATTGGGCCTGGAACAGTTTCATTGAACCAAAGGCTTTCATCCACTTACATATGAAAGTCAACACGCATCTCTCTTGGTCCACAACTCAAAACCGAGCATGATGACCTGCAGCTTTTAGTTCTTTAGCAATAAGAAAATAAATTTTGTCTTAAATTAGTTAGATTTTTGTTTGGCAGGTATATATTTTTCTTTGTATAAAGACTGTTGTAGAAAGTTCCCCAAAAGAACAGCAGGACAGCAACTTTGAAGTTAAACAGGGGTGAGAATTACTCATTTTAAACTGCATAGGAAAAATGTGCAAAATTCACTGTCCACTTATCTATCAATTCTTTTGACCTTCTTCATTGAGTTACAATTTTGTTACCAAAAGAACACTATTTTCTTCATAAATAGGTCTTAACCAAGCATAGCAGACACGACAGAAAACACTTATCAAGATATAATCACAGTGATTGAATCATTTTAAAATGTTTGTTCACCTCTGTAAATGGCCATAGGTAAATTTCCATTCTTCACTATTCAATTTATTTCCACATGGCCTGTAGTCTGAAGTTTGCCTTTCACAGTTTTGTCTTCTGTTCAAATGACAGTCTTTAAACCTTACTGTAATAAGTTACAATTTCTTTCTTGGGTATATTCAGGTTATTCAGCTCAAGAGTTTCCTTAATACATCCATTTCCGTTTTGATGTTCATAGGCATTTAGGTTTAAAGGGGGTTTACATTTATGCCAGTTCTTTAAAAGGGTGTTCATTGTTCCCTGGCTGGTGACTCCCAAGAGTTTGTCTGATTCTTCTGGGTTCTGCTCTGGGTTCTTCTCTGGGTTCTTTTCTAGAATGGGGGTGTGAGGCATGTTCATATCTCGATTAATGGTCTCGAAGAACTGCTGAATGCAGAGTTTTGCAAAAGTTTTTGCATGTTCAGTACAGGTTTCATCGAAAAGTTTTCGCTCAATGTCAATATAGTGCGACCAGTATTTGCTCTTTAGAAAAGCTGCTTGTGTGAAGCAGGGTCGTATAGCTCTGATGAGAAATGCCAGGAAGGTCATGAGTAAAACAAAGGTCCATCCAAATGCCTAGAAGTTTAAAAGGGACACATATTAATTTGTTATGTAACGCTAGCCATATGATGTGCAAAGCACTTGGACTATTTCTATATTTCTATTTGCCTATCACTAAGATGAGCTACCTTGTTGGCCAATAGCAATGTGTTGGAATGGTTGGTCATGCTCCCTCGTTACCAAAAAGTGCCAGAGCTTTCACCGTTCAGAATGGCCTGCCATTTGGTCATAGCAGAGAGGAGTGAGAGCTACTACATGTGCACATATCTCATATGTTCACACACTTTATACCTGCTAGCAGCTTTCTATCTTTTTCTAAAATTACAGAATCACTTAAAGCTTCCCATGCATGAACGCCACATGATAAAAATTATTTTGGTCTTTACATGACATCATGACAATAACAGGTAACATACAATCAAGCAGGTATTCTCAGCAGAACATAACTATTGTAAATCTGTTCAAATAACCTCCACCCCTTTGATCATTTGTATGTTTAACCAACGATCTCTTATTAATTTGCCCAGCTGAACTATAGTCATGATTCACAGCCTATGTAGAGCACAGTGAATGTGCATGAAGGCATTTTGATGGACTGTTTGTTCAGAGAAATCATCAAAAACTTGTCCTTCAGGGAAAATTAGAATGTCAGCAGCTTTGTTTTCAATGTGTTGTACCAGTTTTGCCCTTAAGTAGGTCTTTTGACATCAACCTTAGAATGTCCGCAGCTTTGTTTTTAATGTGTTGTACCAGTTTTGCCCTTAAGTAGGTCTTTTGACATCAACCTATGCACTTTGGAGGAGCTCTTTTGCCATACCTTCAGCCTCAGTCTCAAGCGTTCAGGAAAATACATCATATATCTAATAAACATCCTCATAAGTTAAATGACTCTGGCACTCCATCCCACGGGTCTGCAGTTCTTATTGATGTCTCTCCCACAAGTTCTCTATTTACCTCTTAAGCATAGGTTACTGTATGGTGAGAGTGTGATTGAAGCTCTACCCAGAATAACTACTGTAAAACTTTGACTTGGCTTTATCATTGACTGTCCTTTGAGCAATAAGGGACCAGAGCAAGCTGTAGTGTCTGTGCTTGCTAGGAATCTCCATATCATCTGTTTTTCTATGACGGATCTTGCAAAAACTCCCTTGGGATACTAGGGACCCATGTACCCCCTCCACCCCACCAAGGTAGCTGCTCAGTGAGCTCTCTGTTTTTTTCTAAGCACTCTGACCTCATGAACAATACCCTTTTGTTCTTTTGTGCCTGCGAGTACCTTGTTTAGCATGTAGTAATCTCCTCCAAACTCTTCACAATGTATTTACAGGCATCGGGGTATTTCTGGAATAGTCTACAACTGACTTGTGGCTACAAAGCTAGAATAGGAAACTCCTTTGGTAATGTAGATTAGCAGAGTGGGTAATAATCTCAATCTTTAGCTAGAATCTTTATTGTTACAGGTACCACAAGTATGAGCCTTTCTTTATAGTGATGAGCTCTCTTCACAACATTCCTTCAGGTTAATTTGCTCACTGACAGGATATCTTCAATCCTGTTCCAAACACAAGCCGCTTGATATGGATATATTTGATTGTAAGCCTCTGTGGCAGCAGTCCACTCCAGACATATTGGGGTTAATTTACTCAGAGCAAATAAGCAGTTCACTTTGCAAGGGGTTTGCACTTTTCAAGTGAATTTTCCCCTTAGCTTAGTGAATGATTTAAAGCTCTAGTGGCTTGCATCACCCAATCATGTACAAGCAAAAATACTGTGTTGTTATTTTCCTTGCTCATGATTGGGTATTCTTTGCAAAGTGATTTTTTTTAATAGGCTAAGGGAGTTATGTCTGTGGCTGTCAGAGCCTTGCAATGCCTCATAGGACTTGTAGTTCCAAAACAGCTGGAGTGCCAAGGTTGGCCACCACTGGGCTAAGGGATCATTCCCTTGCAATGTGAACAGCCTATTTCCTTCAGTAAATCAATCCCATTAGATCACTCACCTAGAACAAACATGCAGAAGGTAAAGTTAAAGTAAAGTCAGACCTCCTGAGTACTAAAACCATTGGATTAGCATGAAAGACAGGGAACTAGCATTTTTAGAAGCACAAGTCAGCAATGGCAGCTGCCTGTTCCCTCAGTACATATTTATTTAAGCAGCTGTTTTATCACAACATTGTGGATCCTGTGTCTAATAAAAATGATTACAGTATACCTTAGAGGCAAATTATGGGATGAAATGCCATTGAAAAAACTATATTTTATGTGCGATTAGGAATACCTGCGGCAGGAACTTTTGATTTTCTTGCAGCAGGAATCCAGATAGTGATCTCTTCCTAACTGCATGTAATTGTATCACATACGAGTACTTGCGGTGGGCCAGCATTCAGCCACTTTCCAAAGCTGCTGCTGTCACCTAATCATTAACTTGAATGGCAGATTATGGGTTCCTGCTGCAGGAATCCCTAATTGCAACTAAAATATAGGTGTGAATGAGGGCTAACTCTTTTAATAGCCAGACTTGAAGTACACTTGTTTTTCACATACCTTCCCTTTAGCTTCCCTGCAGCTTAATTTTGTCATTGCAAGCAAGAGAGAATTATCCCTGTGTACGTTCAGCTTTGATCTTACAAAGACCTGAGGGCTCTGTCCCCTGTGTAATTTTTCCATGAACGTTTACATGCAAACTTCCGCTAACAGAAGTGACTGCTGTCAGTCAGTTTTCCATTTAAATGAACAGTTACAGCCGGCACATCTGTACAGACACACCTGGGATTCATGGGGCAAGAATCCATAGGTTTTTGGAACAGGGATCCCCAGCCGAAGTGTAAAGCCCTGTGTGATTGAAGCCTTATTGTCAAGTTAACTGATGCTGCTTATATTGGTCTAGTCATCCACGCATCAGTGACTTCTGGTCATAAAAGGGTAAAGTCAACCTGTTGCTTTGCACTGAATTAACGAAACACAGACTTGCATTATACATAACATCGTCTGCTACAAAATTGGTATATTCTGCTCCCAAGAGTTCAAGTGACCTCATATTAAATATTCCTGTGCTTTATTAATCCATTAAGAATATAAACATTTTTTACTTTTATATTTTTAATGCGTATGACGGATTTATACTAGCAGGTGAATCTAGGTACATACAGTATACCTGCTATTTCACCCTGCAGATTTGTGTTATTTATAACCTGATTCTCCAGTGGGAGCAGGGAGCAGATTCCAGCAAATGCAAAATAGTTATATTAGGCTTGAATCCTCATTTGCAAATATGCCTGATGTTTGTAAAACCTAACCTGTGGGCAGCGTGCAGAAACAAACAGGGTGGGTCTCTCATTGGGATAAATTAGCTAATCACTGATAAAATCATCAAGTTTTTCTCACTGATCAGCAGGGCTAATGTCTGTAGCATTTTCTATATTATATATATGGTGAATATTACTGAGCTTCAACGATTCAGTAGATGAGATGAGACTGGCATGGATCACCATCTTCCTTTTAACATTAAAGTGTAAATGCTTTTGCTGATCCCATGAGTTGGACTTGCTATGTTTATATTGTGGAAATACAAGAGGGACAGGTAGACCTCTTCAGGCATGGTGCCTGGGGCCAACATCTGCAGCAAGTGTATCTGAGCTGCACTCTATGCATGGTATATTTATTTATTATTGGTATTTATATAACGTTGACAACTTACACAGTGCTTTACATAGTCCCTGCCCTCCAGGAGCCTAAAGTTTAAGGTCTCTATTTCACAGGCTTACATACAGAGCCTATTTAGACAGGAGCCAATTAACCTTCCAGCATGTCTTTAGAGCAGTGGTTCTCAACCTGTGTAACCTCAGGACCCACATTTGTCCTTAGACATTAAGTGGCGACCCAAGTCGCACTACAATGGAACGCACGGCATTGTGGTAGCGTGCATTCCGGTGTGGGCCATCCATGCGATTCTCAGCTTGGGGTCCAGTGCTGGGCTGCTGTGCTGTTGTGCTGTGACGAAGCTCCATCCATACATGCATTGCTTGTACAACTCCCTTATGCGCCCTGTAGAGGTGCTAGGAGCCAGAATGTGACGTCACTCCGTTCCACCTCTGCAGGTCACTTGAGGGAGCTGTAAGCAATCCATGTAAGGATAGAGCTCCCTCGCGGCCATAGCTCCAGCCCACCTCACCTCAAGCTGACACTTGGCGCCAGGCAGTATATTCTGAATGGCTGCTCAGCGCAAGAACTGATATTGCTATGCTAGGGGAAGGCTGAGGAGTCTCTCACCTAGAAAAGGGGAAGGCACGCGGCGACTCACTGAAAACGAGGTTGCGACCCACCAGTTGAGAACCAAGGCTTTAGACTGTGGGAGGAAACCAGAGTACCCAGAGGAAACCCACGCAAGCACAGGGAGAAAATGCAAACTCCTTGCAGATAGTGTCCTGACTGAGATTTGAACTGGGGAACCCCAGTGCTGCAAGGCAGAACTGCTAACTACTACGCCACAGTGCTGCCGGACCTCAACTCCTATAAACAGAAGATGAGAGATTTAATGAATAATACTGAGACCTAGCTTTATTCAATAGTCCTGAAACCGATTAAAGCTGATCTTTTGCCAATTCCCCCCACACACACACATACACAAAAACAAACCCCTATAACTCGGAGGTGGGGAAACTTTGTCCTTCCAGGTGTTGTAGAACTACAAAGCCCATGGGACATTGTACAGACATGACTCCCAGAGACATGCATGATGAGATTTGTAGTTTCCCCACAGCTGAAGGGCCCGGAGTTTGCTCACCCCTGCTCTAACTAATCACTGGCAATAAAAACAAAAAAATGCCCTTTTTACTTTTCTGAAGCTGGGTCACATGGTGCTTCATTACAATTCTTCTCTTATCTTCTGTTTATAGGAGTTAGAGTTCTTTAGGTGACATTTCTATTGGCTGTTCAGTGGCAGGGTCCAGCGCGAGGGGACTGTTGGACACGCAGGAATATTTGCAGCACTGGATTACTAACCTCCTGCACCCAGAAATGGCACAGGCAAGTGATCCAGACAGTGGACTTAATTAACTATATCTTGTTTTGCAAAGTAATTAAAAAGAACTTTGCTGATGAAATAAGAGGGGGTGGGAGGGAGTTAATATTTGCCTTGAAATGGGCTTTAAGAATATAAAACGAAACATGCAGCAAATGGCTGTAACTAGATCCAGTAAATGTGCTCAAACACTTTGGTAAATGACCAGATGGCCTAATGTTTGACAAATGGTCAGTGAACCATTTACTGGCTTCTTTGTAACTACACCCCATTATTTTGTTTTCCCTTAATAAATCTTGCTATCGCTCACCAGTCATACAGTATAGTACATCCTATTCTACAGAATGTCACAGTCTAAGGATGTCACAAAATATACAAACAAAAATTACCACAATGTAATTATCAGTAAAACAAAAGATCGGATGTGTCACCTGAGAAATGCAGCGCAGGTATCTGGTTGCCACTTCCTGTGGTATGATATGGTTCCCATCATAGATATCCTTGCAAGGGATCCTGGCCAGTATTCGCTTGATTTCCTTTTCAGACAGGTCTACACCAGTCATATTTCCCAGTTTGTCAATAGGAACAGATGTACAAAATGCACATATAAAGCTCTCGCCATGTAGTAACGTCACTGATATCCATACTGCCGGAGCAATCAATGCTCGTTGGGTCATTGAACAGAACATATATCGCAACACAGCTGCATCTTTCTGCCTCATGCCTATTGGCCTCTTCCATTCCTCTGCAAGCATCGAGACATTATTGTTCATTACAAACCCCAATAAAAATAAGACAATGGGTGGTACACACAAAACACCCATAGCATAGGACAAGTTGTAGTTTGGCAGACACGGGCAATTAAAATCAAATGTTGTGTATAGTTGGGCACTCGCAAGTGCCATGATACCACATATTCCATTCATGAAGGATTCCTGGTTGGCTTGCAGGAACTGAAAGATCATACGAAACTTATCCATCTTGTGGCTTTACTGTTTATCAGCAATTAAATAAAATAAAATGTCCCTTTTGCTGATGTCTTCTTGGCTTCAGAAAGTTGATATCGGACTTTTCAGAAGAGATAATTCTTTTTCTTGCTTTTGGTTTTGTCTGTCTGCTGTCTTCAGTATTTTTTCTTTTCTTTTCGCAGGTGTGCAGACAGTTCAGCTTAATGCTTCATTCAAAAACAGATTTGTAGTTGTGAAATAAATTATTTTAGTCTGTTGTGATTATCCCCTGCACAATCTCTCTGAAAACTATTAGATGTGAAGCTGTTTGCAAATGCTTCTATGACGTGTATACTCCCACAGTAACCACAGATAGAAGCCCAACCTTCCACACACCTATGCAAAAAAGTCTAGATGAAACTGGCTGACAGGCATCTTGCCTTGCAAGAGCCCAGGGAGTTCATTAGTGACTACCAGCGAAATAGGACCTGACATTTAAATTCTTATTAGCTGTTCTTCTCTTCCGATATCTATATCAATAAAACCAGTCATTTTATAGGTATTTTTTATTTAAGCTACACACAAAGCACACAAGCCACATTATTGGAAGCACATTATATCCCTAAAAAGAAAATTAAAGTGACAATAAAGTCGTCTAACCCCCCCCCACCCCCCAATGCTGGGGTAAGGACTTACCTTAAATAATGCCTCTTGATCCGATCATCTTCTTCTATCCAGTAGTTTTCAGGAGTCCCTCCATCGCTGGTGCTGGTCTCTGATCCAGTGCTGAGTCTGTGCAGGTGCACGCTGCCGGGCTGCCTGCATTGTCTCCCCTCATCTCCCGGCCGAACGAAGATCACTACTGCGCATGCGCCCGCTCCATGATCCGTTGCGGCTGCCCAAGAATCTTCAGAAGTTCGGACGGGAGCACGTGACGGAGACACGCCTAAAATTTTTTCTTTTTTTTTTCCGCAAGTAAAGTTTTTATTGTTGTAGACCTTGACAATGACAAAATACAAAGATATCAAAGTAGTCATGTACAGCCATGTGATATCCAAAACTGTGTTACAACGTAATATGTCAAAGGGGACACAGTAATTCAAGTTGAAAATAGAACTGGGTCTAACCAGAGAAGCCGTAATCCAGTGTGTAGGTATTACATTTATTCACAAAGCAGGATGCGAGAATGGAAAATAAGGGAAAAAAAACAACTAATCATGTATATCAGAATCTGGTGAATAAGAGAACCAACGTTTCTTATTGATCCTGCAAAGCTATCAAGACCCCTTGACTGTAGAAAAGATGTAGATCGGTGATTGTGTATTTTCAGTGTCCAAAAGATTTTGTGCACACAGTGTGTAGATAATCTGGTTTAACGTGGATGTCGGGGAAGACTACAGCCTATGGGGTGTTACCATTGCCAGGAATGAAGGAAGGTCAGAAGGGACAGATGAGGGACGTCCAGGTCCTAAGGTATCTGGACATATCGTCTCTGCTGGAGTGAATCAGTTCCTCTATGTTTGATACTGTAGCTATCCGGGAGAGCCATTCTCGGATCGTTGGTGGGGAGGGCGACTTCCAGTGTCTAGGAATGACCGTTTTTGCCGCATTCAACAGGTTAATTGTGAGGGATCGTTTAGATACATGGAGTGCTTTGTCTAAATGGTACAGAAGTAGGCAAGCTGGGGAGAACTCCAGCGTTACACCCGTAATGGTTTTTATCAGGGCATGGACTGCTGTCCAGAAAGGCTAGATCAAGGGGCATGACCACCATATGTGTAGCAGAGAGCCCACTTCTCCGCCACAGCGCCAACATTGGTCCGGGGCATCTGGGTATATGCGGTGGAGCAAGGCCGGGGTTTTATACCAGCGGGAACAAATTTTGTAGTTAGTCTCCTGTATCTGGACATTCTGGGAGCTACCTAACAGTATGGAATCCATTCGTTCCAATTCCTGCGTTGTGAAGGAGGTTGAGAGGTTGCGTTCCCAGGCCTTCGCGTAGGGCGTCGGTGGGAGGGTAGAGGGGTCATTCAAGAGGGAGTATAGAGATGAGATGGCCTGCGTCACTCTCTGGGTGGAGGTGCACAGCTTTTCAAAGGGGGTTAAAGCTCGGGAAAAGAATCCTCTATTCGTTTGAGAGTTGAGATAGTGTCGTATTTGAAAATAAGACCATAGTGGTATGTGAGGGGGGGGGGGTTAACCTCGTTTAGATCTGCAAGAGTGTGGAAGTTGCCTTGTCTGTCGAAGAATAATCGGGCAGTCAGAGGAGCATCGGCAGACCAGCGACGTAGGAAGGATGCACTTTGGCCTGGGGGAAAGGCCGGATTGAAGCGGAGAGGTGTGAGCGGACCCGGGGTGGAGGAGAGGGCTTGCCTGTTGGTAATGGATGTGAAAACCCGCAGGGACGTACCAACCGTCGGGTGGTTCAATATCTGGATTGGTAGGTTTTGACGTTGTAGCCAGGGCCAGGATCCGATGGGGACATCATATAATAGTTGTTCTATCCGGACCCAGTCTTTGCTCGGGGCATGGACCGACCAGTCAATGATGCGAGCCATATGACACGCCCAGTAATATCTTTGGACATGGGGGAGGCCAATGCCTCCAGAATGTTTGGGTCGAGTGAGAGTTTGGGGGCTAATCCTTGGGGATCTATTGTTCCACAGAAATGAGCGGAACATTGTGTTCACTGAGGTGAAAAAGGCACTGGGGAGTTGTATGGGTACTGTCTGTGGGAGAGCTGTCATTTTTAAGATGGCCGCTCTGCCAAACCAGGAATAAAGTGGTTTGTTCCATTCCCTCAAGTCCAATCTCAATCGGGAAAGGTGGGAGACATAGTTGAGGGAGTATAGTGTTTGCAAATTAGTCGGGATTTTGATGCCAAGGTATGTGATGGCTCCTTCAGCCCAGCTGAAAGGGAAGTGGGAGATACAAAATTGGACCGTCTCGTCTGGCAGGGAGATGTTGAGGGCCGAGGACTTGGAGAGGTTGATCTTGAACGAGGATAGTGACGCAAATTCTCGGAAGGCTCGGGGGAAGATTAGGGAGGGAGGTTCTTGGTTGGGTTCGAAAGAATAGTAGATCGTCTGCAAAGGCAGCTACTTTTGGTTTCTTTGTCAGGTGTGGGAAAACCATGGATATTGGGATCTGCTCTAATTCTGCGTAGAAAGGGCTCTAGTGCTATCACGAAAAGCAAAGGAGACAGCGGACACCCTTGTCTGGTACCGTTGCAGATGGGGAAGGCATCCGACACGGCTAAATTTTAACCTTTCTAGTGACTTTAAAAAAAAATGTTTTTGCATATATCTACTGCTTGCTAGCAGTAGATACATACAAAAAACCAAGAAGATTTAATTATACTTTAATATCTACAAAACCCTGATGCAAATGGACTGATTTAATAAAGGAATGGAGAATCACCCAAGCATATGCAGAAATTAGTAAACATGATTTTTTTTCTCTTAATTATATAATGGAAGTAAAGAGTCACACAATTTATTGTGTGAAGATTCTTGACTCCTTCAGTAAATCAGCCTCAATATCTTACTATGCCTCCCTCCTATTTCTAACATAATGATTTTTATTCAGGTTAGATGAAAGGCAGTATAGTTTGCTTAGTTAGCATAAACAAATTGCAGAATGGCTAAATAGATGTTCATGCGTTAGCACCCTGCCCTTCTGGGCTCAGCAGCAGTTGCCCTCATTCTGTACCAGTGTATTTTAACTCTAGCTTAATCTGTGTAATTCAGCTAGCTTTAAATTGTTTAGAAGTGACACCTTTTATTCTAAACCCAGTGACATCATTCTTTGTGCATGAATCTCAAATGAAGGGTGTTGCGCATTTATATTACACAGGTTTTATATTGATAACTTTGTAGAGAAGGATTGTTATGAATATAAATTTAAAATACTTATTTAGAGCATATTTATTACTATTTTTCTGAATCCAGTAGTTACTAATATGCGACCGCTCTCCGATCCAGTTCTGACTCCTCTGTCCTTGCTGGCACTTCCGATCCCGCGGTGTAGACTTACCTTGCGTCTCTGCTCGTCTCCAGGCAGTAGATAGCAGTAGATATAGGCAACAAAAACGGAGCGTTTAGAAACTCTTTAATTTCCCCAACCTCTATTATTTCCAATACTCCTGTATGCCCACCCGATTACCTCCTGTACCTAAAACAGCCAAGCCCACCTTCACACCTTCCCCTTCCATTATCTATAATTTCTTTCACCGTACAGTATGTCTCTCTCCTGCAGGAACTGCGAGATTTAGCCACCCACTTGCTCAAGTTGATGGCGGTGGATGGGAGTTCAGTTATGGCTAGCTAGGCCTTATGGTTTCACCTCAAGAGCTGTAGCATCATTGCAACCACTGCATCTATTAACTTTATTCCTACCCTGCTTTTGTAATAGCCTTTAAGTAATTGCTTAGAGGTACAATGTTACCTTTTAAATGTTTTGAAGTGCATTTTATACGCTTTAGATTTCTTAAAGTGTTTGTAAACCCCAAATTTTTTTTGGGTCAAATTTGAGGAAGGGAAGGGTTACGACAACTGTTGTTTAGGGGCTCTGTTGGAGAGATTTCCCTTTTCTTCCTGTCATTGTGACAACAGGTACACCAGACAGAAAGTAAGGAAAAATCTACAAAATTAAAATGGAGAACAATAACAATCTGATACCTACCCTACTAAAAAAACCCAGATGATTGGGTTATATGCAGCCACCTTCAGGTGATTGCACACTGGCAAGCAGAGCTGTTAGAACAGGCCCATAACCCTCACACTCCCCGCAACCCTATTTTTTGCTAGTGTCCTTGGCGATGGATGCCTTCTCTCTACTGAGATAGAAATTTGGTTTCTATACCTGTATCTACAGATTCTTCAAGTTTCCCTTAGTTGCACTATAGACACTGTGGCTGTCCTCCAAACCCGGACCAGAAGGAAATCATAGGCCCGGCCTGTAATGTTGCTTTTGGCACTGGATCTTACATTTGGCACTTAGCTTGGCACGTGGTACAACGTGTTGTTAGCTGT